GTTCGACTCAGGCGAAAATGTTTAACCCAATCCCCTTGTGTAAGTGCCTGACCCGATCAGAAGCCGATAATTCGTTTGTTACTGTATATATATATATATATATATATATATATATTATTTTACGTATGAAAATGTCCACGAATATGCAAAGTTATCATATATCGGCTCTGACCATTTATATCGCAAAATTGGAAAACTAAGAGAAGTATTTATAGTATAAAAAGCACATTTATTATATTCCTGGTTGATGATATCTTCTTGCCGGAAGCATGAGTATAGTCACTACCGCAATAACTTAACAAAGAAATTACACCTTGACACAACGAAAATTGAAAATTGAGGTTTCCACCTGCTGTGTATCAAATACGCATGACTACATGTATATCATAGAAAATAAAACTTGATAGTAAAAGTACAAACGTTTTTCTATTTCAAACTAAATAGTTTCTAACCTTTTTTGTAAGGAAACAAGATTTTCAAATCGTGTCCCAACGTCCGCAAAACATAATTGAAGTACTATTGTGCTTGTATTCTAAAATTTATGTCATGATTATGTGTTTCCAGTTTAATTCGAATAAAAGTGTGAATTATAAGTTATAACGTAAGCCACGTTTAAGAACAGCGAGTTCTAAGTTACAAATCAATAAAATGTTGATCAAAATCGATTAAAATGATGATATCGGAATCATCGTTTTCGAATATATTTCGTTTTACTTAAGGAACGTCGTCTATCTACAAGTTCGAAATATCCACAAGAAAATTTATAACATTATCGTTAATTAAAAAAAAACGAACGAATGAGTCTGGTGCCTCAGAAATAAACCATTGCCAAATTAAAACAAACAAAAATACACGCATAATGCCACAAAAAAAAACAGAAATGTGAAAAATATGACTAGCTCCCAAATATTTAACTAGTATAGATCTTTACCGACTAAGAAAGCATCGCGAAATTTTAAATAGAATAATGAGAGGAAACAGAACGACACGCAATGAAAGGAATTTCGCAAAAAGGTATAATGGGAAAAATAATTGATCAATTCAATATACAATTTCTATATTTTAAAATGAAATCTGTGTAAATTTGAAAATTAATGTATGTATACATTAATACGAACCGCTGGCAAAGGGATAACATTTACAGAAGTAGTTATAGATCTGAAAAGCTGACAATTTTTGTAAATGAATATTCATTTCCAAAAAATTAATGAGACCACTTTAAGTTACATTTATTCTGTAAAACTATGCATTTTCCCAACAAACCGAAATCAGGTAAGCATATTAATTACAAAATCAAATAAAGCTTGAACGCTTTAAGTAGAAAAAGTCAAAAATCGTCTTTATATGGAACGTCATGTAACGCTCATTAGTAGTAACAGCGTGCGCAACGTCACAGGATGTGTCTGCAGACTTTTTGATAAGTTAAATACCGGTAACATGTATATAACCAGAACAGCAAAGTGCACTTTAACATAGATAAAAAGTAGCAGTACGGGTATACTGCACCAATCAGGGACCAGTTGAAACAATATCTTTTGATACATTTGGATGAACGAGACTTGTTTGCACCATATACAGAAACTGTAAAAACAAAATGAAATCTAACAAATATACCTACAACAAAAACAAAATACAATCTTTACAAACATATCTTCGACAATAACATACCATAACAACGTCATGAACCTAACATTTGAAAAAAGCATAATAGCTATACTTGTTTTCAATAAAACTGAAACCTACACAATGCATTAAAATGAGTACAAAGCGAATTAAATTCTGAAATAAATGATATATATCCAAGACATTTGTTATCAAGTTCAATACCCGACTGTATATCGGTAAAACGTACATAATGAAAACAACACTAGTCTTGATAAATGTCATCCGTCCGGAGCGCTTTTCGGGGTTTACCTTTATCAGGAACGTTCAAAGCCGAATATTTGAAATTCAAGGATGTATAAGAACCGAAACAGTGAAAGAGTTATATGACCAGAAAGCTTAAGTACCTAAAAACCCAATCTATTTCATCAAAGGTCAACTTTGTCTAAGGTGATAAATTTTAAAACGGACAATTCTAGAAAGATTTGTTATACATCATGTAAAGTTCCAAACTGACCGCTGCTGTAGTTTTCAATGAAATTTGTTTACTGTCATTATAATGTAAAAAAAAATCCGTTTTGTTGTGTTTGATGCGCACGCTGCATTTCCAAAAACCATCATAAACAAAAATTGAGGCAGCAAAATTTCGTAATTTCAAAGGGATGCTACTGGTATTTTACAAAAAAGGACAATAAAAACCAGTAAGCAAAGAAAGACAAATTGCAACAGTCCATAAAACCCCACATCAGAAATACAGATTATAAAAGACGAACTTTTCAAAACCAAGGATGAACCTCATGTGTTCTAGGAGCTAGGGTGAGAAGTTTCGGGTCCCCTAACGATACTCGTTAACTGTTTCAAATTTGATTTTTACATTATCCAACAAGGGAACACACAATTATACTTAGTAACTCGTAATCAATTTGTAAAACACATATATCGATGTCAATACTTTTTGTGCGACTTAAAGACCACCAACATACCAGTAAAATGGTAGGAAAATTTTGGTACACGTAGTAAGTGCATTTTTAAATTGTCCTATAATTGAAAGTTACCAATGTGTGTTTTTTTCATCGACATTTTCTTCAAGGCCATTCTATTGTGCAGATACTGAAAGTTTTCAGTACGTAATTTGGGAAGCCCTAAGTCACTCGATTCTATGCAAAACAAAGATCTATTGGCAACACCAAATATAAAAACAATTAAGCAAACACAGACCGTCAGAACTAGTACGTGGATGTCAGACTTTCGCTTAGACAGAAATAAAACTTTTTTTACGATATTTAATCAACCTACATTCTCTAACATTTAAAATCATTAACAGCACATTTCAGCCTTTCAAATTTTGTGACAAGAAATTGATTCTTAAATTCCATTTCATCATAATATATTGGGTCTTAACCTTATTAAATAGATTAATGTTTATTATCAAAGCTGTTTTGAATATCACACAAGAGAATACATTCACTGTTAATATTTCTAATAACTAGATTACGCTCTGACAAAGCTGATTTAATGTAAGAGAAACGATGTTTTAATACAATTCATTAAAACTATACGATAGTTCCTAGAAATAGTACAAGATTTACCGCGTTATTAATTTAGTAATTTAGCTACTGATAATATTTACAAACAATCGTATGATAAAAGAGAATGGTACTTGAAAAATGATAAATGCAACCTGATTGAAATAAAGATCCGATGACCATCCTCCACATACAAGAATCTGACAATGCCACGTGCCTCTTCCAACCATTATTATTCGCACCTTAAATTGTTTTGAAGATACGTAAAATTACATCAAATGTCACGGATTCGGAACAGATATTTAGAATTTTAAGTAAAATATAGCGTTGTGAAGACTTTGAGAGAAGCATAGACACAGGATCTACTTAATTGAATGATTTAAGATACACGTCCAGTTGCAAATATTTCAGACATACGTATGACTAGAACAAACGTACGTATACCCACTATCTTACTTTATTCATAACAGTTAATCTGATAGGTAGGCTCTGCAAAGTGGGATAATCTGGATAAAGGGTTTGATATTTGGACTTTCCCTGGAAGATCAGACTAAGGATGGTTATATCCCCATAATACTCTACATTGGAGGCTTCGGATTAAAATTCATACATCACTTGATGGCCTAATCGTGCATATTGTAAACCAAAAGGGACGCAACTCTTGGGCATAAATCATACTATGATTAAAGGGAAAAACGTTCGAAACGGTCAAAAAGTCTATCCGAGTATGATAACAAACAAAAAATAAATGTTGTACATCAAAGCTGAGGTAAATATTGTTTGTCGCCGCTTATTTCTAAAATGGGAATGATACACATATATTTAATTTCAAAACAGCTCTTTATTTAAACCGAAGTGTCACCATGACAATTTGACAACTATACAAAGGAAATACTAATTTAACAAATACTGTAAACGACGACGACAAATTCGAAGATCACAACCTCGAATTGTCAGTGGCGGTTCCAGGATAGGGCGTAGAGGGCGAACGCCCCCATTAATCGCCAAAAAAAAATTAATTAAAAGCTCATGTTTCTTACGATTAATATAATTTTTAGCATAAAATCGTCCAAAATTTGTTCACCTCGCTCCGCTTTGCAATATCTGTTTTGTTTTCAGGAATCATCCCCTTTTCAAAAATCCTGGATCCGCTCCTGATTATCATTTGAAAAAAGAAAAAAGAAAATAGCAATGATTTAAACAATCATTATTTGATAATTCGTAGAGGAATATCTAACTGTAATAAAGGATTCATTGGTTCTGAAAATGTCCTAGTTTCTTGACAGTAAACGTCGACAAGAATATTTTTTTGTTCCCGAATGTACAAAAAGATTTAATAACAAATCTATTAAAACACAGAATACAATATCATGTCCAATAACGTCTTTGATGCGTTTGTAAGAAGATCGATTTTTAAATCACTTTGTTAGTTTATCTTAAATGAGCACTAAAATAATATTCATTTGATATCATAATAATTTTACGTGAAATTGCATAAATCATCAAGACATATAATGACACCATTATATGAGGTTGTCTTTTTCTGTCAAGGCGGACAGCAGACGACCAAGATTATAGAGAATCACATTGATTGGTTGCTTTCAATAGAGTTCTAGGAGTGGGTTATAATATTACGGTTTTATTGATAAAGATGTGACATCGTCAAAGCTGTAGTTTAAATGATAAGAAATAAACATTACAATGTTGACAACTTTTATTTACTTCAATTAACGAATGTTTAGAGCAGTAATTCTAGTTTTGCAGGACATTGCCAATATTGATCTGTATTAAGATTCAAAAGAAATAACAATGCAAAATTATACAGAATTATTCTCAAACTTTGTTAGCAACACAACTTCGAGGAGTTTTGCGATGGCTTTAAACGAGTCTAATTTTACTTTTGGCAATGATTACTACGAACCTAAAGAATGGCCATTGATAAAACATGAAGAATTTACAATTGTATTGTTATGTTTTGTGTATGGATTAATATTTGTAACAGCCTTAATTGGTAATTGCTTAGTAATTTGTGTGGTATGTAAGAACCCAGGAATGAGGAACGTTACTAACGTCTTTATAGTGAATTTGGCAGTTGCTGATATACTGGTTACCTTATTCTGTACACCGTTAACTCTGCTTGACAACATTTACACTGGTAAGTAATCTTGTTGCCACCAGTAATTAACCATCTTATTTGGCAAATGAATAATGTGTATAAGCTAAATAAATGCATAGGATCGAAAATCGCAAAATACTAGATTAAGTTATGGGTAGCGTTTAAAAAAGTTTGTTTTGTATTTAAGAATTTGTCGGTCTCCCTTCGTATTTATGTACATTTAAAAAAAAATTAGTAGTTTTATGACTTATCGCACATACATTAACAGTGTACTATTTTTCAAATTTTCGCTTCGTTTAAACAATTCATAAAAGTGATATACCGATATCTTTAGGTTAAAGGTTAAGTTAAGCTGAAAACCTATCAAAGCTAATTTAGGACATACCATAAATATATTGCGATTTCGAAATCAGAGATTTTAAACATCTTATTACGAATTGTATATTTCGTGACAACAATTACATAATTCGTTATTAAGGATTAAATTCGTGTTAACAAATCTCCTGGAATTTTTATAATTCGTAGAAAAGTTGTTGCTTAAAAGCAATCGTAGTGCTAGGATTAACACTTTTCAAATCCAATTTAAATGTGTTTTTTTTTAATCGTTACGTCAAAGCCTGGCAAAATTAAATTGCAGCAAATGTTGTAGAGCCAACATGACGTAATGTGTATTATTCAATATGAATAGTGCATAGTCTTACGTCAGATAGTCCTCCAAAAGGTCAATGTTGCAAACTTAATTCAACTACACATAGTTCGAATTTACATACATCATATTCGAATACACAAAACAGTGTTTTTCTAAGAACTATGGAATGCCTCAATAAATGTTGATAATACTTTAAAATATAAGTTTGGAATTTCTATTAGAAAAATTCAGGTCACAAACTTCTTAAATAGGGAACTGGTCATAGATACAACCGCTAAATTGAAATGGAAAAAGAACCCTTAAACATAAAATCTAATAGACAGAAATACGAGGTCTCATATTTCGACCTAAAAGGTCATTGTTAAAGAAAATTGAAAGTAAAACAGGCCAAGACTACACGAGGACGCTGCAACATTTAGGGGTAGGTGTAATAATTACCCGAAATGAGTTGCAATTGTGTATAAATTCATATTTGGTATTAACACTAATTTTAGACGTGTTATAGAAGTGAACGAATAACAGTTAAACTTTGTAATATATTTACAATCACGTCCCCGGATGACGACGTATTGAATCAAAAAGGCAACAGTGTACATGTAGCCCTCAACATAATCAGAATTATCAAATTGTGTAGTATTATTTTTGAGAAGCTCATGTGGCAATGTTTATTGTGCAATGATAATTGTGTAACATCTTGAAAGCAGAAATGATTTCCATGTTACTCGGCCTTCTTTTGTCCTCAAAATAACGATCGCCATGGTATCGATATCTGAATGTTTCTCCTATGTAAAACCTCATCAGAGCCTTTTTATATGACTTCAAATACTAAATGTTCAGTGAAACAGGATTCAATTTGGTAAAATATGATAGAAAATTTGAGGGACTTCCATAGTTTCCAAATGAAAGTGCACATATTGTATCTTGATAATAATGTTGCAATGTCTAGTTCCTATATAGTATTTTTACTCTACCGTTTTTTTTTCTTAAAAGATACTGCTTAATAAATGTTGACGTAAACTCTAACTTTGAACGACATACTATCGAAAACATGAGTCATTTAAGTATCTTCAACCAATGGGTTCGAATTTTAGAAGGGACACGTTTGTTGCAACTATAAAATGTAGGTATAAGAGTGTTTACCCTAGCATGTTGATATACCGAGTCTCCTGCTTTATCAAAAGACTGATCTAGACATTAAACTAACCATTCACAAAGAAGATGTATATGTTCACATTTTACCACTGAGTATTGGTGTCATAATTGTCATTAAAAAAAAAATATTTGAAATTAAGATTTTTCAGGATTCCAGGTAACAAGTCTAGGCTTTCAATTATAAAACTTTCCTCAGTACTCGGAGTACACAATTTGTGCTCGAAACACCAAATTCAGTATTTGATTAGTCGATTTCCGATTAAGTACGAAAATCGTACTAAAAATTGTTATGACTGCAAGACCGACAATCGATATCAGAGGGAAAATCAGAGGGTTTTAGAAAACAAAAGTCTCTATTGGGTTGTATTCAAGTTCGCTAGTTACGTCAAGGATAATAGTTCAACGGTACTATCAGAAAAACTGTACTTCTTACGAATAATATTAAAATGTCTTTGTTAAAAAATATCTTTACACATCGAATGTATAAAAAAAAGGTCATGATAAATTCATTTTCCATGTATTTTCTACTTATGGAAATTCAAACCGACGAATATTTTTTAGAAGTTGAACAATCGTTCTAAGCTTAAGATTTTCGAGACGTCTTTGTGTATGCATACAGTATATTTCCAACAATTTTCAGAGCTTTTTGATTTTCATATTTTACACATTCCATAATATTAACAAAAAATTAAAACTTACAATTTGGATGAAAAACTTATACCATAGTGAACCAATATAAAAGTATATAAAAAAAGTAATGCAGATTAACAATTTACCATTGCATTTGGTTAAGTGTGATCACATTTGGATGAAAATCTGTGAACTTTGCTTTGACCTCTTTAGGACTTAACGTTCTGTACTGAAAAAGTCGACGCGAAACCCAATTGTTAAGGTATAGTAGCCAAATGTTTGAGGAATGCATTGACAGGTAATTTTTTTTATTGTAACAGTTATTTAAAAACGGACTAAATAGGGGCTTAGGATATGATGTGTTGCGTTTTTGTAGGCTTTCAGTATATAGTTATTGACCTTTATTGATAGTAGAATAAAAGCCGTATAATCTACATCACAGTAAGTTTAAAAAGGAATGTAAATTTCTGAGTGGGAAATAACTTCTTTACTAGACCAAGTTAATTAGGGATGATATATAAATAGACTCTACTGTACATTTCAGACAGTTCAGTAATTATTATTACAGTTATAACACTCTAGAAAAAAGGCTTAATATACATGAGGGTAAAGATGTATCGGGGGTCCTTCATTTTTTGTATTCTTTAATTTTTTTAGGCTATTTTTCTCTAGTCTTTTTGTTCATTATTTTCTATTCATTATATATAAGCACACAATTATTCTTTATTCCTTTTTTGGGTTCATTTTTCTATATTTTTATTTTTTGGGTTTTTTATTCTTCATTTGTTACCAATTATTCTCTATTCTGTAAACCCACTCAGACCCTTATATATTGATTGACAGTCATCAGTTTAAGTGATAATTTTTATGGCGGGTGTTAGATGTACAGCAGGAGAGGCCTACACTGTCGATGCAAACCGTCTAAAAACTGAAAACGAAAGAGGACATTGACTTACTTTTAGACTATAACACTATACAGAAAATAGTTTCTTTGCTTGTCACTTTCAGAAATGTGTCCCTTTCCAAACACACACAGTGTTCAGGCTACTCCATTATTATAAATGGACTATTCCTATATGGAGGCATTAATTTTGCCTTTCAACAGGCAACTTACAGACTTAAAAGCATAACACTCTCCTAAACAATGTATTGGGTATAACGCTCGGATGCGTGCATCGCACATAGCTACAACAGACGCATTCTTTTGCATAGGTTTAAGTGCCGGTTGGGAGAAATCCAGAAGATCAAGTCAATCCTTGATTTTATCTATTTATTTTAAACGTACTGATTACCACAATAGTACAGTTGAACACGTGAAACGTTACTAACCGAATTTCTGATATTGAAGCCATAGACGGCAACCTAAGTGTCATATATCAAACAAATACTTACTATAGAAATAGATCAATTATAAATTAATAAACCTCATTATATAAACAAAAACGACCCACAAGGAAATAATACAAGAATGAACATAGGTAATCATTGAATGATCGTGTGGCTGCAGTCCAGTGAAAGTTTCAATTGCTAGAAAATTTTAATGAAACACTATTCCAAACTCTTGCTAACAAAATTCCAAGTTTAATCTTATAATTGTGAAAAAAAACCTTATAATTGTGCCAAATAATCATAGAAATTAGAACCATTAGAGATATATTGGACCATTTATTACCATAAAACCGCAGCAGTGAAAATACCTTATAGTATATATTATGTATTCTTGACTAATAACAATCTACGTACAGTTGTGTTTATATCACGAAAGTCAATTGACACATACATTTGTACTACAAGCCCTTAAATTGCAACTGAATTATGAAACACAAACGCCATTCTCATGAGACACTGGTATGTTATCAATAAAAAAGGACCATTCTTGACTATTCTCTTCTGATTACATACATTTGTTTGCATTATGTCGTAATAATTAGACGGGTTCATACGAAAACGAAAACATTTATCATGGTGCGGCACTCAGTTAGATCATTGAATAAATGCCTTTTTTTCAGAAGATCTGCATGGCCTCAATCTTTGAAAAACAACCTGCTCTGTTTGAATTGGTCACTGCGCTTATATCAACAAATGCATTCAGTATAACATGTATAAGTCACTGCTAGATCATTGATATTAGATTTTTAAAATTTGACAATGACACACGTCTGATTTGAATTTATGTACCACTACTATTATACTTTCTATAATTTTACATTATGATCGTGTTTTCATAACTATACAAATAAATCTCCGTATGTTTATAATATTTTAAATGCGGCTAATACCATTGGAAAAAATCACTATTGAATCGTTTTTCCCTTTCCATATCGATATTATTTATGAGGGAGTTTGCATAATTCATTTCTGATTTGATTGATTGATTAATTGGTGCTTGCAATTGACGATTACAAACAAACATATATTCAGGTTTATAGCATGTTGATATAATATTAATTTATTCTGCTAAAGTATTAAATTGACACAGGTTTTAAATACCTCAGCAGTCTTCAAGACATGCCATCCTATCAAAAAAAGTAAATCATTGTGGTTCTACCGAATAAATACTAGGTTTTTAAGGTTTTGTTTTAAGTCGCATTTAGATCGAACACATGAC